GAGTATATATTAATACGAAAGTACTATTAGAATAATAACTTGGGAGGAAGGTGTATGACCTGACCTCCAACTAAAGAAGTCGAGAAGAGTAGGATTTGAAGAATTAAAAAAACCATCGATGACATGAACAAATTGATATTTCACAAATTAATAATCGGAATCATTGTTGCATTTTCTCTAATCATGACAATACCTAATTGAAGTAGAAATATATCTTAGGCACAAACAAGAACGAGAAAGAAGCAAAGAAATGTTGACAGCATGAGCATATAAAGTAAATAAAAAGACAAGATACTTAGATGCTTCACTTTCAAACCCTTTTCGTGTTGACCAATTATTCCAGTGTCTCTTTGAAGAGTAAAGAGCCACTGTCTTCCCAATTCTTCAATATTAACTCAAGAAAAAGTCCCTTTAATTAACTGCAGTTGGCAGATGATAAACATATAATCTTAGCTTAGGAAAAAAGTTAGATTAAGGTTAAATATTGTGAAATAGGAAACAAATATTCTTCTTCTCAAATTATAGGCTCTAGAGTATAACTATAAGGAATGATATCAGAATATACTGTTTGCACGAAATAGTAGACTTTCCTGGGAACCCTATAAATTTATTTTGATGGAGCCTCAATTTGAATATCCGGTCCGCGAAACAGATGTCTAAATGCATAACTGGGCAATCACTCCTCAGGCGGTTGCTCACTGGTTAGCGGGAGTAATTAAGCTCATTTAAGCAGAACAGTAAGGCACACTGCCAAAGGAGATTTTCCCTGCAATGAACTTGTACAAAAATATATATGCATGGTTCCACTGGCCACAAAATCTTAGAGATTGAATTTTGTTAAGAGAAATAACTCAATTCCTTATGTGTTGATTAAATTTTTTATTTCTGGCTGATCTTGATCCATTAATAAAATGAGTGGGTGTTGGCTTATAAAGATAATTATAACCTACTTGCAATGATGTAGCACGATGATTAATTTTTCCAAGTAAAATTGAAAGCACGATGAATCGTCCTAGCACAATATTTTTCACTCTCTTCCACCACTTGCTTCATATTTCTCATTCTCGACTCAAATAAACATTAGCTTATTTTTCTAAACATATGCGTATATCAAATTCTTATATACGAAGGAGAATATTTTTTCTTTTGTGATTTCAAAAAAAAATAAAATAAAATAAAATAACATAAAACACATAAATAAAACTATATATGTTTTGAGAAAAATACATGGGTTTGTGAAGTGTGGACCAGGATTGGGACAAGAGGAACATAGAGGTCAAAGGATTAGTGAATAGATGGGATTTTATACGCTAAAACTTTCACCATCATTTTCAGTTGTTTGACTCTGTCACTGCAATTTGGTGCTTAAGAATTTGATTTTTGACGTAAACGTGGATCCAATAGGAAAATAACTTGTTTGGAAAAACTTAAAAAAATATTTAATTGTTTTTTTTTTTTTTTTTTTTTTTTTGCGTAAAAAAAATATGTTTTTTTTTTTTTTTTTTAACCCAA